CTAGCAGATGACCAACATAAGGTCATTGTGTTTCTTGTTCAAAGAATGTTTAATAGCCGATGCTATTATTTAGTAATAGAAAATACTTTCTTTCTGTTAAAATCTTATGTGAGCTTTGTAATCACAAAATATTGGCTATAAATCAAGTTTAAACAAGTTTAAATGTATAAAAAGCAAGCTTTTAGCATAATAAATCAGAGCTCTCTACATCATCCTGGTGTGCAGACTCTCATTTTCGCCGACTTCGTCCCTCACCTGCTCTTCACCAAGAAACCCCTTGAGTTTCTTGTCACGACCGTAGTCGGGTGGTCGGTGACAATACCCTCCCACAGCTCATCTGGCATTCATTCATTAGTGTTCAATGCCTCCCACCTGTTCTTGAGATTTTCCTTCCTTTTTTTTTTAACTCAGGTGGAATAGACTCAAGGTTGTATTTTGGCTCTGGTGGGTTTGATTTAACTTTCTTTAGCTTTAGTTTGAATTTGCACAGGTGAAGATGATGGTCTGTTCTACAGTCAGTCCCTGGCATGGTTTTGTCTACAGACACAGAGCTTCTCCAGTGTTTCTTTCCACAGATAAAATCAATCTGATTCCTGTGTAATCCATCAGGTGAGTTATGCACATAGTTTTACAAAATTTATTTCTCAATAAATCATTGATTGTACAAAATTCTATCATTCTCTCTCCAGCCTCAGTTATGTAATCAAGCCTGTGGTTTCCAACTACTGCTTCTTATTCCTTGTTCCCGATGCCTACACTAATTTCTACTGATCCAATACCAAACGAACTGCTCTGCTGGGTCTGCAATGTATTGAAATAGCTACACAGACTTCACAGAAGCACAATTACAGGGTTTATTAGGGAAGTTCATTCATGATTATGGGATTTAGTAGGGAAGCTAAAGGGTTACAACTTAGGTTGGCAGCAGGATACAATCTCTCAGGAAGGACATTTCCCACGTATGCTCGCAGGCCCTTCAGCTTTCAGCCTCATTGGTTTACGTCAGTGTTAAAAGGCTATCTTAGTCCTTAGTGCCAGTTAAGGCATCTGCCCTCCAGTCTTCCAGGAAGCTGAGTGAAGGCCCCTAGTTTTGGTCCCATGAGGCAGTGCCAGGCCAGCTCTGTTTCAGGCCAGGTCTCTGGTTCTCTGCTGCAGCTCATACTGCTGCTTCCACAGGCCCCGCCTGAGGGGTGCAGGAATCGTCTGCCTGAAAGGAAATGTTCTGTTTTTTCTTGCTGATGGTGAGAGTCCCCCTTCTGCTGCTGAATCTGCCCAGTTTAATGGTGAGACTAGTCAACGCCCTTGTAGACAGATTAACATGTGCTTTTTTGCATGATCCTCCCATCCTTGTGGCAAAATAAAAATAAATGGCTATGAAAGGCATTCTGAATAATAAACCTTGACCTCACATCCAAATACTCCTTCTTTGTTCTGACTTTGCATTTCAGTCACCTATTATTATAATCAAATGCATCTTGAACTACCCAATTCAGACTATAAAAGCTGGTAGAAGTCCTCTCTATTTCTTCATCTTTCACTTTTGTAGTTGGTGTGTCAGTTTGAATAGTAATTGTATTAACAGGACTTCCTTGTATGCATATGGATAGTTTCCCATCATTCACAGCATTGTACTTCATGAAATAACTTGAAATGCTCTTTCTGATGGTGAATTCCATACCATTCCTCTTCAATTTGTCATTGTCAGAATAGACCTGGAACAAACCACCACTCTGGACCTGGGATGACCCACCAACCAGACCTGGGATGACACACCAACCAGACCTGGGATGACCCACCACACAGACCTGGGACGACCCACCACTCCAGAACTGGAACAAACCACCACTCTGGACCTGGGATGACCCACCAC